ACTAGATTTCAAGAAAGGTACAAAACGACGAATAAATTATATTTAAATCAACTTTGAAAAAGTTGTTCGAGTTTGCTAATAATACGGTGATTGATGTATTGCTTTAATTTCTGTCAACAGGGATACAGTGAAGCCCAGCTGAAAGAGTGCTTGGAGGAATACGCAGCCTTAAACGTGTGGCAGATCCATCCAAATACGTTCGACATCCGTTTCATCGATGCTTAATAACAAGTTTAACATTATCACTGTTAGAATGTCAAATGTGACAACCTTAAGACAAAATGATTTGTTTAGATGTTTTTAATGAACGCGTTAGGCTCGGCTAAAAGCCCCAGTTGTATACTTACTGGTACGGATTTGAGCAGAGCTTGTTTCCTCTTATATAAACCAATATTTATGAAGATTTTCTCATGTCATGTTATAAAAAAAAAAAAAAAAAAAAAAGCTTCTATTGGATAAGAGTACAAAAGAAAACATGTTTACAAAATGTCATACATTGCAAATAATTTCAGAAATAGTTTTCAAGAAAACATCCTTGTTGAGTGGTTTGGTTAAGTAACCGTCGACTCCAGCCTGAATCATATTATCGATCTCTTGCCCCTTCTTGTGTGCAGTTAGTGCGATGATTGGTATACGAACACCGTAACTTTCCTCTGCTTTTCTGATTCTTGCTGTTGCTTCGACTCCATTCATCATCGGCATCTGCCAAATAATACACACATCGAAATAGACAATAAACTGTTGAAGAAAGTAATATTGAAAAAAAAAAAGATCGGATCGTTTGATTTTACCTCACAGTCCATTAGTATACAATCGAAAGGGAGTGAACTCTTCGAAGCTCCAACATGCTTCCCTTCGTCTAGACTCTTGCAGACTAGTTTCCAAGCTTCTTCTCCGTTTTCACATGGAAATATACTTGCACCAAGCTGCACACCCACAAAAGTAGCAATCTTTCGACCGATCGGATCATCGTCCGCCACGAGTATTTTCCTCCCCATTAACGGCTTCTTTTTGCTGTTTGCTCCTCCAACTTCCTCAATCTCACACTTTGATCCCTTCACAGAACTCTTACTTGCCCCCCCATCCGAACTAGCAACATCATTTCCGCGTCGAACGTTTTCAACACTGTGTGAAGCTTCTCCCCTTCTTGGGGGCGTCAGCCCCCCAAATTCAGGTAAAAGCCCAATAGTCCGATATAAGCGGGACCCGTGAAACGGCTTCGAAATGACTAAATCCAACGGTGGCAGATTATCCTCATCAAGCCCTTGTAAACTATCAAGCCAAACAACTCTACTGCAACAGTTTTCACTCAAGTCCCTTCTAAATTCAGCCACAGCCCTACTTATCTCCCTAAACGGGCCCACACTCGTGTCGATCACAATCAAAACAATGCCCGAAAACCCGGGCCGAGGATTAGGTAAAACGTCGTCCGTTCCTTCTAGAGCACTCAAGGGGAACTCCTTTTTCGAACGTGCACTAGAAGTAGTGGATTTTCCCGAAGAGCTGTAGTTGGATAAATTCAGCTTCCGCTTGATCCTCTTCAAAGACAGAGAGAGTTGTTCGTACTGCTTCACAACGTGTACTTTAATCCCGATTCTATGCATGAAATCTTGCAAGAGAGTGCTTCTTTCGGGACTATCAATCAAGAGCAGGACTTGTGAGCCGTCATTTTTCGGGCTGTGGGTACGTAAACTAGTACCCGAGTGGCGAAACGAGACATGACCAATAGACTCGATATCAGCACTCGGAGAAGAATTACTATCCGACTCGAAAAATGCGTTGAACCGGAAGCAAGTCCCTCTCTCGCCCGCTTCTATATCCACTATTCCTATCTCCCCGCCCATTAAACGAACCTACACATCACCATCATCAATGAAGAAAAAGCAAAAAAGACAAAAAAAAAAAACAGTTATTACAGTTTGTTTTACCAGAGATTGAACGATGCCTAGCCCCAAACCGGTGCCTTCTTGACCGAGTGCAGTTTCTTTGACTTGTACGTAGTTTTCAAAAACCGATTTTTTCTTCTCTTTCGGAATCCCTTTTCCCGTATCGTTCACCTCAAAAACAAACTCCGTGCGGTTATTTGTTTCCCTTTGAGTAGCTTCCGATTCACTATACGCTCTTTGGATCTTGAACAAGCACAAAAGACAGCTCATCGAGTTGCTTCGGTTCGAAGAAATAATCCCGCTCTCAAGACTCGGTTTTTTAGCCCAAACTCGAACCACCACATGCCCGTTCGACGTAAACTTCACAGCATTGCTCAACAAGTTGCTCAAAATCTGTTTCAGCTTCCCTCTATCACCTCTCACACGAGAAGATTTCGTGACCGAGCCGTCAAACGGGTCCAAAATTACGTCTACGCCCTTCTTCGTACCCACAGGGTGGTACAAATCAACCACATCTTCCATCAGTTTCTCCAAGTCGAACTCTTCCTCATCAAGCTGCATTTTTCCAGCCTCTATCTTACTCGTATCGAGAATCGAGTTCAAGATTCCCAAAAGATCCCTAGTGCAAGATTCCATTTGCAGTAGATTCGCGGGTATTTCCGATCTCAGTGGGTCGCGCTTCGAAACCTCGTTCCGGCATATTTCTATCAGACCGTTTATCCCTGCTAAAGAAGCACGTATATCATGGCTTGCACTTGCGAAAGCTAAGCTCTTGTTCATGCTCTTTCGCTCCGATTGTTGAGTTGCTTCCATTTGACTTATGAGGGCCCCACATAGATGCATCTCTCTTCTCGCAGCTTCGACAATTAGATACACGAACGTTAATATCGTAATAACCACAACGCCAATCATTAGCATTAACATAACGAATGCCAATTTTATGTTCTTGTGTACTAAGCTCGAAAGTCCCTCGTGTGGCATAGCCAATGCATATACCTTAAAAAAAATCGGAAAAAAAAAATGATGAAAAAATAAATCAAGAATCCTTTTTTTTTTCGTCCGAAATGAAACGAAACTTACCAAAGGGAGTCCGGCGATGTCGAGTGGTGAACAATTAATCACATACTCTTTACCCGAAAAGCTCACTACATAGTTTCTTGATGTGCTGTCATCATTTGATTGGCACGTTAGATTTCCGACTTCACTAACTCCATAATCATCATCGCTTAATAACTGAAACGCCACTCGATCGCCAGCTAAGATCATACGAGTGTTTGGAATCCCTTGAGCTAGAACACTCCCATCCCTTTTAGAAGCCAAATAAAAGCTCCCATCGTAAAATCTTATCTCATTAATCAAGAAATCGATTAGTGATTGCATTGGATATCCTAAAGAAACGACCCCTTTTCCGTATATACTTACGGTACTAAGCAGAAGAATATTCTGAGTATCTCCCCATGAAGTACCGACCGAGGCGTATCCGTTTTTATTACTCGATGCTTCTTGAAAATAGGTCGAGTTTACTACATCAAACGGAGGTGACTTAATTGCTTCACCGTATAGTTTTCCACTGTCACGATTCACCGATTGGATGTACCAAGAGTAGTTCTTCGCATCGGAAAATGTCGAATTTGAGTACATTGCGTAAATTTGATTTTCTTGAGTATAGTAAGCGAAGAATAGGCCGTCTAATCCAATGTAAGAAATCTGCGATAGATACGGTACTGTGGATAACGCTTGAAACAGCGTCGAAGCAACCTGCATTAAATGATCAATAAAAAAATAGATCCCGAAAAATTAAATAAGTTCTCGAAGCCAAATTCGCGCCACTTAATTACTTACCTTCGACTCAATTTTGGAAAATTGGAAATCGTGCTCCTCGAGAGACGAGGTTAATACTCGAACTAAGTTGATGGCTGATGCATTAATAGGAGAAAACAACGTGGCGGTTTTTCGAATACCGGAAATTAATTCCTGATTCGTTTTTTTGGCGGTAACTTTTACTTCGTTCTCGATTTTAGTAACTCTAATGATCCATAATGGGATCAGTAAACCAGATAGAGAAAGCACCATAAGTACCTGCAGCAAGCAAAATTAGCAATTCATATAAATTTTTTAACTGGTTAAAGTTAAACATTTGCACTTTCTTTAAAAAAAAAACAAAATTGAATTAAACACATACCAGCACCATGAGAAAACAAACCGGACGCAACACGATACACGAGCTTCGTTTCATCTGAAAAAAAAAATTAATAATAATATCCAAAAATATAATAATTCTTATGGGATTAAATAAATAAATCAAAAGATGCTAAAAATGGAGGATTAAATAAAATTGCAGATAAATAATAATCATCAACTTGTATCAAACATCATTCATTCATGACTGCATGTAAGTATAAGATTCTTCTTTATTTCTTTCTGACCAAAAAAATAAAATAAAAATAAATTAATAATATCCAAAAGATAATAATTCTTACTGTTCTTCACTGTGTGTGTAATGTTAAAGATTGAGCAGTGAAGGGGGAAGAGATGGAAGGAGATAGAAAGTATTTAAATTTTATTTATTTGATATATATTTATATTATCTGCAGTTTAATACATAAACATCTCTTCGAATGTGGCTTTGAATTTTCCTACAATATTATTTGTGTAGATAAAGATATTACAACACTTTTACATGGGATCTTTTTCTTTAGGAAAACAATGTAGGTTTGGGATTTTATTTGTCTAAAAATTAATTAATATGGGAATTTACCTTAATTTTTTAATTATTGGTAATTAATGCCATCAAGAATATTACATAGTAAAAAATCTTCTCTTCAAGGTAAGAAATGTGGAGCATATATAGTTTTTAATGAAAGAAGATGGTGAAGTTTATTCTATGCTGCACTCGTGTATTCGTCTAGTAATATTTATTTATTTAAAAGAAAATACAAAATACAGAAAAAAAAAAACACGAAATTAATGTAAATAATTCATACTTAACGGAATGGCTTAACCTCGACGACATTCCTATCCTTAATGTACTGAAACGAGTAAGTTTTCCCGCAGACGAGACCATTTGCTCGTCTGAATCTACCCTAACCCCTCGACATGTCGATCCTAAACTTTTTAACATTCGTGTAGCGGTGCAGTGTAACCGTCCAACGACGCTTGTCCGGAGGATATTCCAGAATCACGGCGTTTTTCCCCAGTAAGCCAGCTGCCACAACAAAATCTTTTCGAAGTTGCTAGAGTTCAACAAATTCAAAGAAAATTAAGCGATTAATAATGTACGAATAATTAAACTAATAATAATAACGTAAAATAGCCAACGAGATCATCGATCGGCTTCGTTCAAACATTTAATTACCAGCCTTGAAGTGTGATGTTTCTTGAGAAGCAAATCGAACCGCGGACCGTTTCCAGCTTCGTTTCCCGCACATGATCGAGCATAATAAGGTAAGCAACGAATTAATATTAATATGATGCAAATTTTAAAACTTAAAAGCTTAATTAGTTTCAATTAACAACAGTTAACAATTATGATAAATATAATGCAGTACTTTTTTTTTGTTTCAGAAGAATTACATAAAATTTATCTAAAACCTTTGAATAAAAAGACATTTCTTTATCAAAATAAAATGTTTAAATTAAATATATAAATACCTGGAGCTAGGGCATCATCATCATCATCATCATCCAGTTCATCCTCTGTAATGGAGATATTATTCTGGACAGAAATGCCCCTCTCCAAACCCCCAATTCCAAAAATCGAAACATCAAATATGGAAGAATTAATATTGAACCAGAACACCAAAAATTTATCTCTCCTGAGTTCTGCATCTATGACAAACTTACGCCAGCCCACAGTGAAGTATTTGTACTCGTTGAATTCCTCGATTTTCACATCCCAAATTTCTCCACAGCTGGTTCTCAACTTTGCATTTTCAGGCCAATTAAATCCACATTTTCGCACAAAAGCAGGCGGAACTTGCGAAAAAAGATTTTTTTTTTTTTTTTTGACAAAATTAATATAATTTGGTGGTGGCTGTGTGAAAAAATAGAATGAGTTACGAGCTTGTTGATGTAGTCCTGGACCAAAACCGCGAAGAATGAAGGCCGGTTTTTTTTCTTCATAACCATTTTAATGGCGGGGGTTTGTTTATCTTCAGAGAGGTTTGGAGAGAGAATTGAGAAATGAAATGAATTGTGGATTTTAATTATTTTTTATCATATTTATTTTAATTATTTACTCATATTTGGAATTTAATAATAAGACGACATCGTTTCATATTTTCTCTGATTTTGTGTGTAAACTGCAGTAACATGTTCGTTCTAATTAAACCCTCCAATGGACATTTGCAGAAGGCCAAATGTAAATTCTTGCTGTTTATTCAATTACGGTTGCCCTAAATCTGCTTTCCGAACACTAATTGCTATGCGCCACCTGCTCACCGTCGTCCGCCGGCACCGCTTCATCATTCAACAAGGCCCCAGCCAAAGCGTTATACTATAGGCGAGTTGAAGAAGGGAAGCAATATACAGTATTATGTCGGAGATTAGCAAAGTTAAATGAAGAGTTCATTTCCAATAAATCTCCTTCATCTGGTTTTGATTTCACATCAGGAAAGAAAATCGAGCAAAAGCTGCTTGATTACAATCAAGAAGCTGAAAGATTTGGAGGTACCAATTGTCGTTGTAAACTTGGATTTTCACCTTTTACTACTTCAAATTGACTTCGTCATTTTTCTCTAAATTTACATTTTTTTTTATTTTTTTCGTAAACATGTTACGCTTATGAAGAACTATCAGAAGTTTCACCTGATCACCGATATCTTGCGTACACTATGTACGACAAGGATAATCATTACTTCAAATTATCTGTTCGAGACTTGAATATTGGGTCCCTTTGTAGTAAGCCCCAAGCCGACCGGGTATCCAATATAGCTTGGGCTAAAGATGGGCAGGCACTACTTTACGTAGTCACGGATAATAAAAAGAGACCCTTTAGGTTGGTATGGCTAATTTTGTCCTTCACAATATCTGTATCTGATTCTATTGGACCTACAAATAAATTTGAGATTTGTTTCTTCCCAGGATCTATTGTAGCATGATTGGTTCAAATGACGAGGATGTATTGATTTTGGAGGAACCTCAAGAAAATGTTCATCTGAGTGTAAGACATACTAAAGACTTCCAGTATTTGACCGTAAACATATTTTCAACTCAATCATCGAAGGTATGCTCACAAGAATGTTTCCCCCCATTAAATACTCGATTTTTGAACTGGGAATTTCGTTAGTGACCCACTATTAGGTCTATCTAATAAATGCAGCCGATCCATTATCCGGACTGACTCTTGTCTGGCAATGTGAGCCGAACACACATTGCATTGTTGAGCATCATCAAGGATACCTCTACCTATTTACGGATGCCGCTATGCAGGGTCAACCTGTTGATCACCATTACCTCTTACGTAGTCCTGTTACTTCTTCGTGTATCCCAAGGAATTGGGAGGTTAGCACACTTGTGTAATTATTAGATACCTATGCATGATCCGATACATTCTGGACATATGTCGATTTCTTAGTTGATCCATACTCTTCTTCTGCTTCTTATCTTATCTTCTGCAGAATGTTTTTGCCAATGACCAACTGTTGACCATTGAAGATGTTGACTTCTGTCACTCACATTTGCTACTTATTGTAAAGGACAGACGAAAATATGGGCTGTACTTTGTTTCTTTGCCTCTAAGTAATGACAAGGTAATGCAGCCTTCTGACCATTTAGATACATACCAAATTAATTCCCGGTCCATTTCCTTCTACTTCCAATTATAGTTTTCCGTTTATGTTATGACTATACAGTGTCTCCAATGTTTTCTGAACAATGGTTTTGGCAGGTAGGAGCTCATCTTAAAGATTTCAATCTGCAGAAATTGCCTCTTCCAGATCATGTATCCCAAATATTTCCAGGACCAAATTATGACTTCAATTCTTCAACCATGCGCTTTACAATAACATCACCTGTGGTATGTAAAGATTCTTGCTTTTGTCAATTCTTCCTAGAATTAGGTGGTCTGGCGAGATTCATCATATGCTTTGAGTAGGGTTGTGAGTTGTGGTGAATTATGATTATTGCATACTGGATAGTTGTTTAGTTGCATAGCATCGGTTATAACATGTTTCCATTAGCAAGAAGGATATGATGCGGTGTCCAAGTATGGGACTTTTTATTTAAGACATCACTAGAATACATTTTCCTCTTATATTACAGATGCCTGACGCAGTAGTTGACTATGATTTACTGAGTGGACAATGGACTATTGTCCAACAGCAAAATCTGCTCTATGAAAGAACACGGGTTTTGTATGGATCGGCATCTTCGACAAGCAATAGTCGGATACCCAATAACCTTTCCGAAAACAGTGCTGCAGACGAAAGCACATGGAATGATCTCTCTGAATACTATGCCTGTGAAGAATATGAGGTCCCTTCGTATGATGGGGCTCTGATTCCTCTCACCATACTATATTCCCGACACAGGAAAACAAATGGTGAAAATCCTGGCTTACTGCATGGGCATGGTGCTTATGGTGAAGTACTCGACAAAAGGTGGCGAAATGAGATGAAAAGCCTTCTTGATCGTGGTTGGGTGATTGCTTATGCTGATGTCAGGTTGTCGTTCATCTGTTTTTTTCTCCGTTTTTTTTTTTCAGTCAGATTTTTTTTTGGCTTCGAAAAAATACCCTGAACTACAAATTCTTTTGATTACTGACTCATTAATTTCCAGGGGTGGAGGTGGTGGCGGTAGAAAATGGCATCATGATGGAAGGAGAACGAAGAAACTTAACTCTGTGAAGGATTACATATCTTGTGCTAAGTTTCTTATCGAAAGAGAGGTTGTGCAAGAAACTAAATTGGCTGGCTGTGGATATAGTGCTGGAGGATTTTTAGTTGCTTCAGCTATCAATTATTGTCCAGATTTATTTCGAGCTGCGGCTTTGAAGGTGGGATCAATTCTGAAACACCTTTCTCGATTTCTCACTTGAATTTGCTATGTTTGATGTCTGCTTATATATAAGGCTTCAGTTTCATTCGCAAGAAATGTTAAAAGTTAATTTAATTTAGATCCCCGAGTTGAAATTATTTTTTTTGTTACATGTATAGGTTCCGTTTTTAGATCCAACACACACTTGGCATTAAACCGAAGATAAGTAAGGATATGAAGTGATGAAGATAAACATAATCAACATTTGTTTTTTTCTATTTCTTTTTACTCTCCTTTGCTTTTACTTCCCTAGAGATTAAGTGTATTTACTTCTAACCCTTCTCTACCAAAGAGATATTACTTTACATAATTATTTTAGGGGTCATTTGATATACACACCTAGACTGGAAAATATATAGGGATAAGTCCACTCCTAAAATTCTTTCTTTGAGATACACCCCTGGAGAAGCAACAGTACTATGGTGCCCTTAATTGCAATTTTCAGCAAACTGCATTCAGTATTTCACCCCTGCATTCAGCATTATGGCTAACAGCACTCCACACTTTTAGACCTGCATTTATCATTTTTTCAAATTTTTTAATAAAAAAATATAAATTTTTATTTTATTATTATTTTTTTCTACGTACCTTTTTTTTTATTTTTTTAATATTTTTATTTTTTTTTAATTTTAAATTTTTTATTATTTTTAATTTTAATTTTTAATTTTGTTTTTTTAACTTTTTTTTTTAATTTTTTGATTTTTTTAATTGTTTTTAATTTTTAATTATTTAATTTTTATTCTTTAATTTTTAATTTACTGTATTGAAATCGATACACATGACTATAGTATACCACAGTCATGTATAGTTTTTTTATATGTAGCCATGTACTGTTTTTTTACCCCAAAGTTATGGTCGATCGATTATAGAAACCGTTGATTATATATATAAAAATTCATCTATACCAATAAAAAAATTCAAAATTTGATTCTTGATATTATAAATAATTTAATGCCTAACAAAAAAGTGAAAAAAAAACACAATCATCAAGATCAGAAAAACACATGGCTTGTATATAAATATATATAACTACATGGAACTATACATAACTACAGTTATCTATACGACTAAATTTGACTCAAATCGCACTTGTCAACACGATAACCACTTGTTTTGAACAACGAACACAATCCACTCTGAAAAAACTTACTACATAGTAGTTCAAACATCAAGACCGGTGAAAAAACTTACTACATAGTAGTTCAAACACCAAGACCTGTGAAAAAAAAAAAAGTTAAACAAACAACGAATTTTGCTTCAAATTTTAATGTGCACACACGCACTATCACCTACTGGTATACATAGATAGTCCCCACATAACTCATACATGACTACATATGACTACATGACTATATAGTTTATATATAGCTATATATTACTACATGTGACTACACCATATATTACTGTATGTTACTACACGTGACTATATATTACTATATGTGACTACACCATATATTACTGTATGTTACTACACATGACTATATATGACTACATGTATATGACCACATGTGACTATATACATGTATGTGACTTTATTTGTCCCTTCAAGTACCTGACTTTGTTCTCCATGCGATACGAGACAGCTTATATTATCAAAATCAAATTACAAACAGAGTATGCTAGTCATTATTCTTCGTATAACCAAAGGTCAAAGATCAAAGCAAGTTGAAGTGGAACACCATAGATAAAATAATAGTTGAAACACACGTAAAGTAGTCACCTATTTCATTCTCGATAAATAAAATATCAATATCATATTACCAACAAAATATTCTCATCACGAATCTACATATATACTCCCAAGTATAAAAAAAAAAGTAAACAAATCATTTGAGGACCAATAAACAGTGATCCAATATATTAAGAAGCACATTAAAATTCATTGCCTTTTATATGCCTTCAATGGATGAACAGTCAGTTTTGTCGCACCACCACTAGGAACAAGTTTCGAGTATATTTTTATTATATTTCTTGCCACAACAATCGCGTTTTGTGTACATGTCGACTCCTAAAATTAAACTCACAGCTTCACACGAAAAAAAAAAAAAATTAAAACCAAAACTCAAAAAATAACTGCAAAATTCGATGATGGCTATACAAAAAATACTTTGGTGAACTCAAAAAATACCTGCAAAATTCGAATTACATTACATGAAAAATACAAAAAAACAATGAAAAACACTTTATTGATACATTTACTTCGGTGAACTATAGTCAAAAGTAGTTATGTGCAGTATTGTTACTGCACATGACTAGATATGACTATATGTAGTCAACTATAGTCAGATGTAGTTATGTTCATTCTTGTTATTACATGTGACTATATATGACTACAGGGATACGATCACATGTGACTATATATCTATATGAATAAAATTCATCCACACCACTAAAAAAGTTCCCAGTAGTACGTTTAAGATAATGAATTATGCTCTGTTCTACTTTCCTCGATTGTCGTTGTCGAATGTTGTTGCAACATTCATTATACATTATTAAAAAAAAACAGGAATACAGCAGACAACTGTAAATAAGCTAAGTTCAGTTTAAATATCTACGTTATAAATCAACTCATAACAATAAAATACAGATCGAGAATACACAATCACATGCATATATTACTACATATTACTATATGATACTATATATTCCATTTTGGAGGAATGGGGCAATTTGTTCCAAATACCCTATATTACATGAACTCCTTCTCTGTTGTATTCCATACATAATTCACCTCAAAACCAAATCCAATATCTTTCTCACCATTTAAAAATAAAAATAAAAAATTGAAATATAATTAATAGAAAATGGTTAAAAAATTAATGTAAAATTGTTAAAAAAATTATCAAATGCTAGTCAACTTTGTTTACTAATCATATTTCCTACTCAGATCACCTCCCAAAGTCATTATTGCCATAGTAAAAAAATCAAAATTACCAATACCAACCAAATCGTCATTTCTAGACTAGAAAATAACATAAAAAATTATCTCAGGAGCCTAATATAGGACGGAAATTCCATTATATAGAAGAAGAAGAAAGAAAAAAAAAAAAAA